CAAAGGCCACATCTTTAAAAACATCGCACGTACATCTGAATATCACATTCGTCCTGGTTTCTTCCATCCAGCAATATCCATCGCAATCTGCCACCTGAGAATTCCACAGTGAATGGGTTCAACTCAATGCAAGAATTCCATAATTAATAACAAGCCGCGTTGTTTCAACGCCACGCGGTCTCCAGTTCAATGTGCAGCCCCCTTTGCGGTCCACCTGAGTGTAAACTGTACGAGTCAGGTTGATTTACAAGATCATGATCATTTTTTTGCTATAACATGAACCAAGATTCAAGTTGCCCATCCCCGTTGAGGACCTTTTGCACATAGAAGGAAAAGGAGTAGAGAACAACGTTGATCGACTTCGCACCCTCTGTGCACCCTTCTGGAGCTGGAATTGTGTAGACCCTGGGTCATGCATCTGATCATTTAAATACAGCTTTAACGTTCAAATTCATAATTCCTGAAGTCAGATGCCAAGAAGCTTTCCAGCAAAGTTGGAAGGAGGCTGCAACTCACACACACCACTGCTGACCACCTGCTCCAGAGCTGAACTCACCTTCGAGGTCGGAAGCCGTTTAACAACGTTCCCCGATGATCCAGCAGGCACGGAAGGCTCTTCAACCTGGGGTGCCATCGTGGGGGAATCCGAGGCATGTGCCTTTGCCTGGGGGGATCTCTTCTTTCTGGATGCCTTCTTCGCTTTGAGGGATGCCTTCTTTTTTGGGGATGCCTTCTTTTTTGGGGATGCCTTCTTTTTGGGGGATGCCTTCTTTCTGCCCGCTCTGGTCTTTGCGGGTGTCTTCTTGTGGGGGGTCATTCGAACCTTTGGCTTGGGAGGTGCTGGCTGGTCGTCAGCACCCTCCTCAGCAGCACCCTCAGCGGCACCCTCAGCAATGTTTTTGCGCTTTCTGCCAGCGCCAGTCTTGGGTTTGCCCTCCTGTTTGGCCTTTGCCTTTGCAAGGGCTCTCTCAGCCTTTTTGTGGGCCTTTTGGGCTTCGGCTTCTTTCACTTCCTACCCAAAAGCGATCACATCTGGAAAGTTCTTAATGATCGATCATGAACTTATCACAGTCCCGTTGTTTACTGTCCTCCTTGTTTTTCCTCTTGATGTCCGCTTGCATTTCCTTCACCTCGTGCAGGCAGCTGAAGCCCGAACCAGCAGGATCAATCGGGTGCGGTGGAGGTGCAACAATTTCTGGTAGTAAAGGCTTTCGGTCCTCCAAGAACTGATATGACTGGTCCCTGTTTGCTTCAATCGATGGCTCGAACAAAACACATAAAAATCATCCATGTCCTTCAAATTTGCCCTCACCTTAACATGATCTGGCTCGACTTCATTGCCAGCCGTCATCTCGATGTTCTTGACGTCCTGAAAAAATGCGCACATGCATCATGCATGAACTAAACTCTATTTGCCCTCACCTCAACATGATCTGGCTCGACTTCATTGCC